ATATAACAGTTAACACTACCAGCGGACAACCGGTTGCTGTTAACGTTACATGGACAGAACCGACTTCTACTGATAACTCTAAACAAACACCAGAACCAGAGTCAGACTACACCTCAGGTGACAATATGTTTCTGATTGGTCACACAACAGTGCAGTACAATGTATCAGATTCAAGTGGTAACTTCAATGATAGGTGTAATTTTACGGTTACTGTTGAAGGTACTGTAACTATGTTTGTATTTTAAATTTATACATTCTTTATTGTTATGATTATTTCTTATGCCTACCTTTGTTGTTTTTAAATCATACTGCAGCCATTATATTATAGTGAATTTATAGCCATAAATTTAATTAGACTGATGCAGGATTTTTCAAAATGCTTATAACAATAATGTTTATACAATTATATAAGTTGGTGAATAATTAATTCACACCTCCTTAACTGTATATCATCATCACGTAAAAATAAAAATTAACGAAGAAAGCAGCTCTTCATAGATAAGTACAAGACACTAGGCTGTACCACACAAAAGACTATTGCAAGTTGCCCTACGTCTACTTCTTCCATTAAATGAAATAATTATGAATAATGTTTCTATTATTATTATTATTATTATTATTATTATTATTTTAGATACCAATGTTTTTGTTTTAGTTATTGCTTTTGTCTTTTGAGTGCACTTAGTTGTTGACTAAGAGTCATGCCTGTAAATAACTACGAGCTATATAGTTATTTTTGTAAATTAGTTGTATTTTTCATGAAAATTCCAATTTTCAGACAAAGAACTACCCGTTCCTAGTTGTCCATCACTAGTAACTGGTGTTACTGATGAGGGAAAACCAAATGGCACCGTAAACTACAATATTACCGTAATGGATAACGTTCAGGTTGCTATGTTTTCAACAAACTATACAAACTTCAACCCTGCTGCAATGACCATTGATGCAGCTTACACTGTGGTTGAGACTACTGGTGTATTCCCAATCGGACAAACTGTAATTGAATACATCTTTGTCGACTCTGCTTCGCCAACATCAAATGAAGCTACATGCTATATTACATTACAAATTGAAGGTAATATTATTGGAGATATAAAGACTTTTGATAAAAGGTGTCTGTTGCTTCTACTGATCATCTTTTTATACA